CATAGGCATTTCACCCCACACACAGAAACTGTATCAGAAAACAGAAAGGGTGATTGGAGTACCTGTGATTAAAGGTTTAACCGTTTTAATGTAAATTTAGCTGAATATACCACAGAGGAAGGTCAGTGTTTTTAACCTGATTATCAGAGTCAATATCTTGCTAAATATTTAAAAGACTACTGTACAATTACAGAATTTAAGCACACCTACATCTGCTTTCTCAGCAGGGAAAACTGCTATTAGTTATTGCAATATAACCAGGAGGATCTCATTTATCAGCATATTTCTCTCTCTGTGTGGGTGTATGCACATTGTGGTCTCACACTCTTAGGAGATCTGCTATTTGTTTGTAGCGCCAGTGCAGCAAGATGGAATGTACAAAACTAGAAATCAGAAGTTTCCTGTTCTTACTTTGATCATTACAAATATTTGCTGCAGGCCATGAGAAGAACAGTTTAGCTGTTTCTATGGTAAAGTTTTCATTGGCTTGTGGAGGAAGAACAAAATGGGAAATTTAAACGAGGCCCATCACTAGCTCCAGAGAAAGATTCTCATGAATCATCCTTGCATCCCCCAAGGCAGTTCAGAGATGAGTTGGAATAAAGACTGTCTGAACTATTTTTCCTTTGAATCCCATTAGGATCCTGGGAGGTAAAAAGAGTCCAAGAGCTGTAAAAATAAACTAATGCCTCAGAAGAAAGATGATCATGCAATAGGCATAGGCAAACTCTCTCTCTCTTTTGCTGGCACTGCCAAGGAAGACAGATGGTAAAGCAACCTGATGCAAATCACAAAGCACTGGCCCTTTCTAAATATTTCTTTTCAAATAGAAGGACATGAAAAATAACATTGCGAGTATTTTAGTCATTTCAATATGTTTTTGTAAGTGCCAAGGAGGACTTTTTAACCCATTCTAATCACAAAACAGAGGCTCTTTATTTTCATGTTTCTTTTTTTAAATTAAGAAAAAATAAATAACCTGCCACTACTTCACTTATTTGAGATATACAGCTAAAGTTTTAAATTAACTGACCTCAACATTTAACTTGTCTGCATTTTTGCCCTTTTGCAAGTTGTGTTTATTATAAAGAAAACATAAAACCTTCCTAGTACTTACCACAGGGCTCTCCCTTGAGAGTCTCGGAAGTTCAAGGATATCAGACTTCTCACTTACCATCCCTCACTGGATGAGGCAGATTGCACAGAACGTGCATTTAAACAGAATATAAAGGCCACTAAAGATATAAATGATCTATTTCCATTCAATGGTCCCCAAGTTTCCAATGCAAACAGCTCTTCTTTCCCTCGCCATTAGTTAAAGAAAGATTGTAATGGGCTTTTATTCTGGAGACAGGTTCCACACAAAGGTAAAATTGGGCCAGAAACCTCAGCAAGTTTCTGGTTTGTTTTAAATCTCCCTCTTCATTTTCATCATCTTCTCTTTATTAAATACATTTCAAGTTCAACTGACTACTAACATTTGAGTCAGGCAAGTGGGAGTGTGAGCAGTTTTATTGTCTCAAGCTATGTTCAATGCAGCTTCATAAATTCTCAGAACACATGGGATTCCCTACCCCACTGCAGACCTGCAAATTCCTTCCCCATTAGAGGAGATGATGGCTAGAACTCCATGTAGTTTCACCATCCTCCCAGGAAAAAGCTGTGGGAGAGCAATGTGGCCTCTAGTGAGTTCATCTGCAGTGTTCTATTATTGTTGGCTACATAGTAATCCACATCCAGATCTGTACAGCAACACTCCCCTACCACTAGTGCAGAGTGAGCCCTGGAAAGAGACCACCAAATTATTAGAAACTATTACAAAGTCAGAATGCGAACACAAGGATACCTAAAACTAATCTACAGCATCAATCAGAGAAGATTACAATAAATTTGTGACTTCTTTTGATACACATTTGCAGAAAGTTGTATGTAGGATCCTAAGAGTAATGTAGTGCTGCTTCCTCAAAACTTGTTGATCAAAAATAGATTGCTCGGTATAAACTTCGATCAGTTAGGAATGAGAAATAGGATTTAAGTTAGATGTGTACTCAAGAACTAGTAATTACTCGAATATCAGATGTGCATTATCTCTGCCATGTGTTTCACAAAAAGCAGTCATTCAAAAGTGCTGGACTTGACGAAGAGCCCAAGGCTCTTAGAAGGTACTGAATAAATAATAAACTGAAAAAGTAAAAATAAGCCGCTCGAGTTTACTGTTGTTAAGAAAAGAAACAAGCTATTTACATAAGTTAAAAGGATCAGCAGCAATATTACCAACTCACAAACAATTCAAAACCCATCTTTATATTGCCCTAAAATGCAGGTGGCTCAAGTTGGGGATTGCAAAACTGTGTCAGGGGCTATGACACCTTTGCCCTTCCCATATTGCTAAATAAGAGGAGACTCTGCCTCTTTCCTGGATAGATCGGAGGGTGTCTCAGTATGGAAAAAGTCGAGAACCACTTCCCCCAAAGCTTTATGTCATGTATTTGTAAAAACATACCAGTGGGTCAAATTCTGCCCTGAGAGTTCTCCTTCCTTCCTCCTCCCCCCCCCCCACCAATTTAGCTTAATATGTTTACCCGTTTTTAAGTGTTTACATAGCTTAGCTCTGTCAGTGAGGGAGACAGTTTATGTGAGAAACAAGGAGTGAAATCCTGGGGACTGCAAAGACTAATATTTTGCTGGACAGTTGTTCAATGCTAAGTAATATTCTTAAAGAGTATCAATCGAAGTTGGTATCTACTGAATTTATACCAAAAGACCTGTGTTGAGGAATTAAACACTTATTGCATAATAGTACCCGCAGAGATGTTAAAGGAAGAAAAAAATAATGATGCAAGGCAGAGGAGAAAACTGCATACTGTGTAAGTTCTCTTTTTAAGCGCTGACTTGTTGCTGTAGTGCATATATAGTGAAGTACAACAGTCATTTTATATGCAATCAAATGGTATGTTTACTGTATGAAGGGAAGACTGGCAACCTGAAATTTAGTCAGTTTTTGAAAGCAAACTTGAAAGGACAGTCATTTTAAGTATTATAGCAGTCACGAAGTTCTTGTTTCAGTTTTAGTGCTTTTACCGATACAGTTTACAATTAAAAAGAAAAAAGTACTTCTTTCTTCATTGTTGTTGTCTAAAAGACCACACAAACCAGAGGGAGAACCAAGGAATATTTAAGTTTAGTAAGATGTTACTAGCCAGCTACTAGAAGGATCAGTGTTGAAATCTCAGGCTAAAATATAATCATCCATACAAAGTAGTTCATTTTTTGGTACAAAAAACAAGATTTCCAGCATTGCTGTTACAAGTACAGTTTGGAACTAGCAAATAAGTAACAATGCAATCAGACAATGAACATTTATATCACTTGACAGCCTAGTGGACTGGTAATGCAGATAAATGTAAACTGATTCATCAGCGATGAGTGCACTAAAATAAATTAGAAAAACGAAAGTCCATTAAGTGAAAGCTGATACAATATATTGACAACGAAAGTGAATTCAAAATTATTGTACCAACAAGTCAGTGTGTAACTACATTGAAATAAAAGCAAACAAGATAACATGTTGCATTGCCAAAAGAACTGCGGACAAATTAAAGCCAGGGTTGGACACTAAACGAAGAGCTAGATAAGCTTTAAATAGTACTGTTCACTTTATATGTGAAAATGACTGGGTGCAATGTAAAACAATTAAAATTATACCAAGTTTCAAGAATCGAAGTTAGACTACATCAAAACCAAAGGCAGGCAAGAATAGCAAGAAAGTCAAATTCACGGTCTTCCAATTCCCCAGTTTTTAACAAAAAAAGGTAATCGACAGATGGCAGTTACCCAGGAGAGTCAGTAAGAATTAATGAATTCATGAAAAGACTAGGTGCATACTAAACAAAAATTAAATGGGGACTGAGTAAATAACATGACCATGGAATGGAAAACAAAAGCAACACGCTCTGTAACCCCCAGTAGCCTTTTCCTATTGCTAACATACTAAGAATAAAGTTCACTGGCCTTGTTAACTAAACACTTTATTTAGCTGCCAGTTTATCAAACCATTTGGGATATTATATATAGCGTCATGATTCTTTCATAAAATTTCTGGTACACTATTATGCAATATCGATCTATACAATATCGTAGAATCCAATTCAGATTGTATCAATCTATACAATATCCTAGAAACCAATGGGTTTCAAAATACAAATTTTCAGCAGAAAACAATGGAAAAAACAAGTTATTTTGTTGTCTCGAGGTGTCAGCTCTGTCACAAGCTTGCCTATACTGAATGAGTGGCAAAATGTTACTCTAAAAATACTTATGAATGGTTTGTTTGGAGACAACCTCACAACTCTTCCTTATTTAAACCATAAATGTTAGCATACATCATTCATCTAAGTCAAAACAATAGCAGTCCACTCTCCATTCTGACTCTCTTATTCGGTCTAGAAAATGTTGGATGTACTTAACTAGACTGATACGTCCCACTTTAAAACCAAAGGAATCCAGCTACATCAAGAAAGCACAATGTCTTTATAAAAATGCCAGTTTAGTATCCCAAAATCTCTTGCTTCTTCAGAGGACAAAAAGCCACGGTGGATCAACAGAACATAAGCATTATTTCAACCATTATTCGGTTTTCCCTTCACAAACCAAAAATCCCCATTTCTGAATTAGCACTTGAATATTATAAATTCATTTTCCCTATGCAGTATGTAAGTCTAATCAACATAATGTTCATAAATAACAGAAAGAGTCAACATGAACTCAGCAAATCTGAACATCTGCAGTGTATTTTTATATCATTAAATTGGAAGCAGAATTTCAGGTTATCCGGCATACTAAAGGCAGACATTTTGTTTTGGATCTACAGATAACAAGACTTATTTTGGAAAAAGGCTTTTAAAAACAAAGACAAAAGCAGTTTTCTGAATATATTCTCATTAATAATATGAAGTGCAATGCAGATAGCAGGGATTAATTGAAATCCAAAAGCTTCTTACCAAGTACCCCAAGGCGATAGTTGACTGTGATGACTATCACATTGCCATAACTTGCCAGAACACTGCCATCATATAAATTTCCAGTGCCTTCCATGTAGGATCCTCCATGAATATACACCATCACTGGCTTAGGTCCCCCACTGTCCCGAATGTCTGGAAAAAATATTGAGAAACATTTTATCCCAAGACAGTGGCAAAAAAAGATACATGCAATAATGTGTTTTAGTAAGGTTATTTTTCTTTTTCAGCATATGTCTCTCAAGCAACATGTATTAATTACTGGGCTGGGAGAGGGCACAAGTGTTTGTTTCCACACTTCATGCTTTGAACAGACTAATAAACCAAGAAACGTATGAAAACATATAATTTGGTCACTGAGTTTATTTAAACAGGTGAAATTTTCAACACCACTCATTTGGCCTAATTCTGCCCCCATGGAAGTTGATGGTAAACTGTCCACTGACTTAAGTAGGGGCAGAGTTAAGCCAAAGCTGAACTCTTCTGAAAATCCCACCCTACAGTTTTGTGCACATACTAACATACGTAGCTTGTTATTAAGATGAATTGGATCTGACCCCATATCTAAGTAGGTGAAGTCACGTATTATTTGCTGGTTTCTAACAAGATAAGAGAACTAACTTATAAAAGGAGTTGTGAACATGCATGAAGTTTTCGGTGTCAGAGTTATTCTGCTGTTGCTGGGGAAAACAGTTTGCATGCTTTAGACCTCAAATTGATACTACGTTGTGCCAGGGAAAGCCAGAAGGATAAGGATAAGAGGATACATAATTGAGAAAAAGAAAGTATAGATTGGCCAAGATTTTCAAACAGAGTTGCATGAAATTAGTTTCCTAAATCCATACCTGAGTATCTAAATAAGTGGCCTAATTTTCAAAAGTACTGAATTGGCATGGAACTTCAGGCATCTCTTTTTGAAAATATTGGCTTTTATGTTTCAGAAGACACTTCATTTCAAGTCTTGCCAATTTCCAAATGGTAATTTCTTTGGTTTTATAATCAGATTTTCCTTGGCAGGGGGAGGTGAGAAGAGAAAGAAAGAAAATAAAAAGCTTTCCTCTCCTCTGCTGCTGTAGGTGATAATGGGGAAACTCACTGCCTACACACAACTATTAGATAAGGTGAGGTATCTTGTACTGGACCAACTTCTGTTAGTGAGAGACAAAGCTTTCGAGCCTTACAGAGCTCTCTCATGAACAGAAGTTGGTCCAACAGAAGATATTACCTTGCCCACCCCGTCTCTCTAATATTCTGGGACCGACAGAGCCACAACTATACTGCATATACACCACTATGACTGTATGGGGAAACACTGAAATTGACTATATACAATATGCTGCATATTCACAAAGTAAATAAATTGGGGAAACGGGGAAAATTTTGTAACTCTCTAAACATTCATTTATACTAATATTAGATGGAACCTATAACAATAACAAGTCAAAACCGGAATGAAGTGTGATTTGTAAACTTGTGTGTGCACTTAAGTACAAATTTGGATCTCTGAAGTAGAGTCAAAAAATTTTCCTCCATGGTCCATTGTGGGGGAAGTCCATCCGACAAATTCAGCATTAAACATTCATTATGAAGTCACGCTACTGGCTATTCTATTAATAGCTATTGGCTATTATGAAGCCATATTACTTCAACTATTTGTTGAATTACAAATTTCATTTTAAAGATTCTTCTTAGTGGGTCCGATAGCCATGCTGAGCTTCTGTGGAGGATTTTTAATAAATGCCAAATTTGCCCCTTAACTGTTTAAACTTGATTAACCATCATTTTATCAGAAATGGAAGAAATAAAGTGATGTAAAAGTTTATAATTAAATTGTTATTGATACATGTTTGGATTAATGATATTTTGATCTGATCTGCTACTAGCTTGTCATTTTCCATTGCCCAAGACAGCACACAACGTTGCATTCTAACATGTCTCCGAAGAGATTATGAAAATTAGCAGACTGAAGAGGATATTTAAAATACCAGAGTAAGGAAAAGGGAGTTCTCTCAATGTCCTGGCATAAAATTTGCTTTCTCTATGAAAGATAACCGTGTTCATTACAACAATATTCATGTTTTCTCCCATCCATGCTCTGTTTAATATCAGTGTGGAAAAGGCTCTCTTAGATTTATGAGTTATTCCTTTAATTTTAGGCACACTCAATGAAGCAGCCTTCAATAAAATTCTTCATACTTTTATCTGGAATCACATCCCAAGTATGGCAAGGACAATGATGAGATCAGGCTGTTCAAACACAGGAGCTCCTTCATCTGTATTTGGTGACAATGGTCAACACAGATGTTTCTGTTTCTACAAGGGCAGCTATTGTTTAATTTTTGTGTTGTTTGTTTTGAAAAAAAAGTCAGTGATCAAACTCCAGAAATGGGCTCTTCTATACTGCAAGTTCTAGAATAATCACTTATTTCAAAACCAAAAGGATGGTAAGAGGTGGCCCATGAAATAACTTGCCCTTCACCGAAGCACACAATAAATACTTTCCAATGTACCACTCTCAGAGTTTAAAGTTAAGAGGGCACATATCTTTTTCTGTCCAATGGAATTACATGCTTAGGTTTCAAACAGGGGTAGAGCAAAGTCCTTTCAGATTCATTAAAGCATTTATTTCAAATGGCTGTTTACACACAGCTTTTGCTTTCTATTTTTCTAGCCTGGATACAACTGAGGAAGCAATGATAAATTTTTAATCTGAAATCACTAAATGACTGTTCACAGCAGAAACTGTACACCGTTAATTGTAGACTTGGAGGTAACACAGGGGGAGATTGTTTCAAATTCTTCTTTAATTAAAATTACATAGAATTAGAAGGCACCAACTGTGAACAGTAATGAAATCTTGGTAGTATTGTTCTGTTTATGTGGAAAATAATATTGGGGTATTTAGAGAAGACTGGGTGGCTTTTATCGGAAACAAACGATGAACTATACATTCATGAGCAAAGCAAAGTTCAAGGTCTAAAGAAAGGATTCTCTGATAAATTCAGCCGACATTATGCCTTTCTGTGATTTCCCTGTAAATATTATGCTTGAAAAGGTTAAGAACAGGCAAGCACTGCAAATTACTCTCCATTTATCTATATGCCACCATCAGATAAGACTAGATGCAATATAAATTTTCTCCACACTGCTTTGTCAAAGATCTCAACCTTGACTTAAGGGTAACCACTTCTTCTAGAAACTAAAGGTGGTGGTTGTGTGTGACTCACTCTCCGAAAGGGAAGTTTAACAGTGAACAAGACCGAGCCACACTTTTATCAAGCTCACCTGAGAGCAAACTCGAGATCCGCAGATGAAATACATACTAAGGCTCTAATCCTATATCAGGAGACAAGTTAGTTAACGGGAATCTGCACATGTGCAGAGTATGTGCCAGCAGATTAGAATGCTGAATCAGGTCCTTACTATGAATTGTAATTTCAAACAGACTAAAGACTGTTTAATTTTGAGGTCCAATATTGCATTTCATGTGAAGTCAGTGGGAACTTTGCCTGAACAGGATTTGGGTACTTTATCCACATCTGGGTGTTTTTGAGAGGCGTAAACATTAGGGATAGATGGGAGTTGTTTAAGTGGGACAAGAGAATATTAGGAACTAGAAGTTAATAATTGAACTGGTATGAAATTCAGAAAGCAGCAATGTAGGCTGTAGGAAGAATCACTTCTTAATGAGTTCCATTAGACCTTGAAATATGTGGCCAAGGAACTGGTGTAAGCTCCATTGTTTGAGACCTTTAAAAATGAGAGTGGACAAAGTACTAAAAATATTGTGTAAGGATAAATCTGTATTGGTATGAAGAAGGATTAAGGGTGGGATTTTCAAAAGTTTTGGATTGGAGTTAGGTGCCCAACTCCCACTGAAATCAAATAAGATTTGGGCACTTAACTCCCTCAGCTACTTTTGAAAATCCCATCTAAATGACCTGACAGGTGTTTTCCATCTCTAACCTCTGAGCCAATATCAACCCATTGTACCAGAGTATTGCAGTGTGGTCAGTAAACTTCATGACATTAGAATATCTTCACTTTAACACATTGCAGTGTCTAGACAGAGGTCCAAATTCTACATTCAGGTATACCTTTGCAGCTTTCGTGAAATCAGAATTTGATTCTGAGTGACTCAGGGAATGGGTTTATCCACAGCGTACTCTGTTGAAGTCACCAGTGGTGGATTTGGCCACTAAGGGCCTGCTCCGTAACCCTTTCTCATGCTGAGTCGTAGTTACTCATGTGAGTAGTCTCAGTGTGAATAAGGCCTGCAGAATCAGGTCACAAGTTTGGTATTTCTACCAGGAGTTTGGAGTTTCTGACAAGAAGTGTGAACATTTTCAAAAGAAATGTCTATGGGACATCTCCATTCAAAATCCTCCCTGACTTCAGGCATCTCACTCCCTTCATCTTTTATTCATACCTGTGTTTTGCCTTGATACCATGATTTATTTGGTCTTAAATTGCCAGCTGATAATGTCTAAGTAGACTGGAGTGGGTACGTCTGATATTTATCTTATTTATATGGCCTATGTAATTACATGCTCTTATTATGGTTTCCATCATTCTCCAACTGCCATTCCTTCTTAATGTTTGTTACAACCACTTGTTATCTCTGCTCTTAATTAGATTAAATCATTCATGGAAGAGGCTGTCTTATTCTGTGTTTCCAGAGTGCACACTGGAGCATCAATTCTGAATGGGGTTTTGGAGCACTACAGTAATGCATAAAGAACAAATAACTAATTTCAAAAATAAAGTTCATAAAGTTTCATTTGTTCCAAGGGTCCTTTTAAAAGTCTCACTTTGACACTATAGAGATGTGTGACTTATTTACCATCTCAGGTCCATTTGGGTTGTGAACATGTTATTGTTGAAAACTGTTAAGAAGATTTTACAAGCAAACTAGCTGCTCAGGAATCCATGTACTTCTTACTTAGCAAGATTCTACATATGTACTCTTTTAGCTATTCCAAAATCTTTTTCTAACAAATTTCGCATAATGGGAACATGGCACTAGTCAATGAAACTAGTTTCACAGTTTAAAATCTTCTTTGAAGCCATTTTACTTTGAGTTCAGATCTATGAGACGCTAAATACATCTATAGTTATTTTAATAGTGTAAGCCAGTGTCACTGAAAATCTCAGTATGCAAACTTCCATTAAAAATAATCACATCTTTTAGATGAGTTGTCAAATTGAAGGCCTGACAGCTTGTGATCATTAAAGAACCTATTGCACTTTTCTTAAGAGTGGGAGTGTTTAATCCTAATCCTAACGTTCTGGCAAAATTCCACCTCCTCTAATTACATTCAGCCTAAATACCACCTCAAATTTTAGTTGAATGTAGTATTCTTCTTCAGCTCCTATCTTCAGCTTTTGGGTCGTTTCGCTGTACGCTGTTAAGCTGCTGGGTGCATTTCACCTGAGAGGTGGCTGCATTTAAGTGCTGGATCCCTATATAGCAATTGCTGATTTTCAAATTGCTTTGATATCCTTCTTGTATGCACTGTATAAATGTAGCACTGTATAGATGTAAGAGATACAAAGTAGTATGAAATGCAAGAGTTGTAATTCTGATAGGTCTTTAATAGGTAAGCAGCAATATAAGGTTCTAATTAGAGAGGGACTCTGCAACCAAGACTCAAAGATGAAGGTATCGCAGAAACTGACAGAACCTTCACCATACTACCAATGGTTGGCAGGGATATAATTATAATGGAACCCAATAGAGCTGCTTACGTTAAGAGGCTGTCAGAATTTTTACTACCTATATTTTGAAGTGTTAGCAACATCATTGTAAAAATTAAATGTAGGTTGAACAGAAGTTCTCAGAGGGGGAAAATATTCACTGAAAAATTTAACATGCAAATGAAGTTTTAACTCTGAAATTTTGATGCTCATGGAATGAGAAACTAATATGCCTGGGTGACAGTGTGAGCAGGCATTGTGCTGTCTGTGTGTATCAGTCAAAAAAATCTCCATCCTAAATTGCAACATTTATGCTTTTCCAGCCTGGCTGGGACTGTAATTATGCTGAAGCATGTGGTTGTTTTGTGATATAGACAAATGTGTACTACTATATACTGTTCTCTAAAGTCATATGGTTTGAGTCATAGCTACCCAAGAGACTGCCTATCTTCTTGGGCTGCCATGGCAACAGAGATCAGCTGAGAGAGTTGAGTTAGCAGTCCCCTAGCTTACTTTTAAAACATTAGGGGCTGGTCGAGGGCTCTTCACCAGAAATACACAGTCCTTGAATTCACTTCCCTTCTTGGTACAATAGAGCTTCAGTCTGTTGATTTTCAGAACAGGATGCAATGTCTATCTCTTCTCCCAGACTTTGGAGAAAGTGGTGGAGAAGGGCTAGCTTTGGAGTCCTGGATTCCATTCCCTGCTCCCCCATAGACTTCCTGTGTCACCTCGGGCAAATCACTTAGCTTCTCCATGCCGTAGTTCCCCATCTGTAAAATGGGCAAGACACTTTTCTACCAGGGAGGTTGTGAGGATAAATACAGTAAAGATTTTGAGCTACTCTGATACCATGGTGATAAGTGAGACAGAAACATAGGTGAGTTACAGAGTGTATGGGATTTCTGATGGATGAGAAGAGTCCATTGGTGACCGAGTTTTCATATGTTTGTACAGCACCTAGTACTCTGGGCCACAATTCCAGCTGAGGATATTACTAATAATTATTATAATGTATTTTACCAGAAGTGCCTAAAGGATAGGTACTTTTTAAAATAAATCCAGATTAAACTAAATTAATTTATGAACTATACAAAAATAGGGGACTAGGATGAAAACATTCAAATCCTTTACATTTTTAACCCAAACCAGGTTTCCAGATCTGGGATGCTAGTTTATTCACTGCCTGAGAAACCCTTAGTTTAATGTTTGGTTTCAGAGTAGCAGCCGTGTTAGTCTGTTTCGCAAAAAGAAAAGGAGCACTTGTAGCACCTTAGAGACTAACCAATTTATTTGAGCATTAATAAATTGGTTAGTCTCTAAGGTGCCACAAGTGCTCCTTTTCTTTTTAGTTTAATGTTGTAACTACACTAGATTCTTACCCATTTGTCAGCAAAGGTTCAGATTCACTGATGCTACATGGATCACAGGTGTTTTTACAACGTCATGCACAGCTGTTGAGGTAGCTCAGTGGTAACACAAGTGCAGCTACCTAGTTGTTCAAAAACAGGCAAGAAAATGTCCAAGTGTAGACAAGGCAAGACTTTTAGTGCAGCTCGTGTGAGACAGATGCTGGCCTGTTAAGACACAAAGGCTATACAGTTGCAAGAATGTAAACAAAATGGGAAAGCAAAGAAGTTTACATAACTTCTGATTTTGCACACATTTTACCCAGGACTTGAAAACACCTTCGTTTTTTAAACTGCAAATTTGCAGATCATTAGCCTGTAATGTGCACTAGTGCCTTTGGGTCTTCTGGAAACAAAAATGAAAAATGATCTCATTAAGGCTGGCCTAATGGTTGTAGCACATACAGAAGACCCAAGTCTGATTACTAATCCCAGGCTCCTTTGTCCCTGGGCTGGCAATGATTGGGAATGCTGATGCTGTAGTAGTAATACATGGGACTGGGGATTATCTAATACTGTTTTATATTGAAATCTGCTGCTAATTAAAGTGAGAGACTGACTTCATAGGGAGTACTGTCCAGTCCCTTAAACCAGGTGGCTATGATCCAGGCTCTTGGTAAGTGCTCATTGAGCCTCTAAAGAAACATAGGCAAGGTCCTGTGCTCTTTGCAACACATTATACTTAATTATGTGGGAGGGACCGTACAATTACGGTCCCTCCCACATAATTAAGCAGATCTAGGGACGTGATCGTTCCCCTCTATTTGACATTGGTGAGGCCTCATCTGGAGTACTGTGTCCAGTTTTGGGCCCCACACTACAAGAAGGATGTGGAGAAATTGGAGAGAGTCCAGTGAAGGGCAACAAAAATGATTAGGGGTCTGGAACACATGACTTATGAGGAGAGGCTGAGGGAACTGGGATTGTTTAGTCTACGGAAGAGAAGAATGAGGGGGCATTTGATAGCTGCTTTTAACTACCTGAAAGGTGGATCCAAAGAGGATGGATCTAGACTATTCTCAGTGATAGCAGATGACAGGACAAGGAGTAATGGTCTCAAGTTGCAGTGGGGGTGGTTTAGGTTGGATATTAGGAAAAACTTTTTCACTAGGAGGGTGATGAAGCACTGGAATGCGTTACCTAGGGAGGTGGTGGAATCCCCTTCCTTAGAAGTTTTTAAGGTCAGGCTTGACAAAGCCCTGGCTGGGATGATTTAGTTGGCACTGGTCCTGCTCTGGGCAGGGGGTTGGACTAGATGGCCTCCAGAGATCCCTTCCAACTCTGTTATTCTATGATTCTATGAATTATGCAGCACAGCCCTCCTTGCCATGGCCAGCCCAAACTGAATAGGGTTTTTTGTGTAACTTATTTTTATATTTGCTTTTTGCTGCCCCTAAATGTTCAGTCCTCTGCAGATGTTTGCACTGACCACAAATAACTGTACTGCAGAATTTGTCAGGGGAAAGCTGGGGGTAAGGTTGGCATGTGGTTTGATATGTTGACGTCCTGGGTGGCTTTTTTGGAGGGTGGGGAAAAGGCAGTTCTTCTGTTTAGTGTTTGTTAAGGTGTTCAATAACGTCAGCCCAGACAACTGTAGATCTTTGTAACAGTAAAAACATAATGGACTGCATCCACTTGGTGAAGATCTGCTCAATTCCACTGAATTCAATGGAATGAGACCAATATACAGCAGCTGAAAATCTGGCTAAAATTTTAGTGCCAGGCCTCTTGTCTGCGTGAGATTAGGTATATCTGAGTTTACAATTCTTGACATGATAATGTAGAAGGGAAGGGATTTTGTGCTTTTCTACTGCAAATTCAGTTGCTTGAGAGACACTTTATAAGAGTTTTCTAACATTTTTCTTTATAAACACAATATTTTCTCTGTTTATCAAACTGAGATAAGTTGGTAAAAGAAACATCTTTGTATTTGGTGAAATATATAAATACAGAGGGTTAGAAAACATGCAAAAAGGTGTACAGAGAGACTTAAAAAAAAGTGTTAGTTCAAATAGTATGGACAAAATTCAGTCAAAAGGTGGGATGAAACATATCAAAAGTCCATTTCAAGAAAACAAAACCCCTCATCTTTAAATATTGTTACTCATTTGCATAAAAATGTAAAACTTAACAACATTCTTTCTTTTAAAAGAATTAAATATATATATATATATATATATATATAAAAACAACAAGCAAGAAGACAAAACACATCAAAAATGGGAATAAAAAAAATCTTCAAAAGACAAGAAGTTAAAAAAAGAGGGGAGAAAAAGATTTTCAGGGATCCTTGTCATGCAAATCAGTTTGGCGGCAAAAAAAAAAATACCTTCATCTTCAGCACCGTCATTATCACCTAAATCATCTGTCTGTTTCTTTGTAAGGGGACCTAGGATTGAGAATGGAGAAAATGGAGGAAAAAAAAAAGACAATTCAAGAATACACAAGACTGAGGAAAAAAAATAGTCAATATTAAATTCCCAAGGATGTTTCAAGAAAAACATTTGTGGGGAGGTTCAACACACACATTTTTGTTTCATTTTTTTAAACTATATAGCAAAATCTCTCCTATAGGGTATGGCTATTAGAAACGTCCAGCAGGAGAGGCAAATAGTGCCTGATACTTTACATTAAAAAAAATAAAGAATTAAAGGAAATGTTTACTAAAAGCATACCCACCACAAACAAATAACCAGAAACTATATTTATCTCCTTCATTCTTAAATTTGAACAGGTGGTGACAATAACAAACTAAAACCAAATTAGCTCTCATATTTGATGAAATAATGTTGCTGATAAATATTTTGACAATTAGTGAAGAGAAAATTTTCTGTGACAAGTGAAGTCAAATTTCTGAGTCCAACAATTTTAGCTCCTGCTTAAAAAGAACAAGCATGGATTTGGCTTTTTAGTTGTTGTTGACGACTCATTGATTATATTCCAATTTAAATACAGCTGTGGACTGAAAATTCCCTGTAACCTTTCTTTGACCATCTGCTGATATATTTGTTAAAAAATATGAAAGTCCCGAAGTGGGCTTTAGAAACAACGGCTGAAATCTTGGCCCTACTTAAGTCAATGGGAGCTACATTTTCCATTGACTTCAGTGGGACTAGGATGTCACACAGTCTATACAAAAATAACATTTAAAACAGAGGCTATTCCAGTCTCAGCATAGGCAGGGCAACTAACATCCTACAATCAATACTAAGAATAATGGAATTAAGGTTTAATAATTCCATTCCATATTCCATGCCAACACAAGTACCATTAACATGTAAGGAGATTCATCATCTCTTGCAACAGAAAAAAAATTGCCCTTCTCTCTTAGCAAGTAATAAAAAATACAGCAGAAGAAAAGTCAAAGGCCGTAATGAAAATATTTCCATATATCATGTATTCCACACACTTATGCACAAACACAAGACAGTTGGAACTCAGTATTATCTTTCCTTTTTTCAGAGCTATCCAATTTCCATGACATTCTGTAATTTGCATGCAAAAAAAGCAATCAGTACAAACACAGGACTCAAGTTAAAAAACGCAGCCATGCACATAGTAGAAAACAAGAACTTTCTCATGCATAAAACAGACAAAAACAAGAATAAAGATGAAACGTGTGTCTCGATATCTATTGTACATGTAGGCAAGAGGCACGCATTAACTTTAAGCACATTGAACAATGAAGTAGTGTTAAAACATTTGTATTTTAAAAAGCTCCATCTACTTCTGTTATGTTACAGGATATTAGTAATTCAACATTAAGCCTGTAATCTGTACAAAGAACACTACAATTCTGATTAGTGCACTTAAACAAAAAAAATCTGAAAATGTTGTTTGTATTGAACCAGGTGCATATGTTTGACAACATAAATAATCCAGGATGTACCATTAAATTTTAGTTGTGAATTTTGAAACCGGACCATATAGTTGAAAACCACAGCTGAATACCTTAATTACTGCATCAGTCAGGAGAATAGTTTCAAGCTCATTCTAAATACAGAACACTGGAATTATACATCATAAATTCAACAGAATTTTACAATTACACCTGCAAGCAATCATTCTGTTTAATTCAGAACCTTGGTGAATGCAATAGCTCCTGCTAATGGAAATCCTCAATATAATCGCTACAAAATATGATATCTACATAATGTGACCCTATCTAAATGCAGGTAGCACCCTAATGATTTGCTGCTATCATTCTCACACCATAACTACTACATTCCCGAAAAAGGACAAAACCACTAAGTATAGCAAGGAAACTAGAAGATCATTCACTTAAAGGTATGTTTTCAGTAAAGCATACAGGGAAGAATGAACTATTACCAGTTCTAAGAGATATGCATATAGTAACCAGGAATGACATGTTACAGTTAAAAATATGTATTCTTTTTAAGGGTTTCTTGACAACGTTATGTTAAAAGGAGTGACCGACAGGCAAACCTAGAGACATCTGGAAAGACAAATGTCTCATGTATTTCTGTAAATAAATTGGGTAGAGGGAAAGTTCTCCTTCTCAGAAAATATTTAATTGCAAATTGAAAGATGACTAATCCCTTATTATAAGGCATGTCCCTCATATGGTACATTGTGTTTCATATTTGTCTAAAATCAATATAATCCCATATCTTAACAGCAGTCATACAAAGAATCAAACACTGTTATGTAAAGTTATGATCTTGTGCTGCAAAATGACACACAGTACAGCGAAACATGTCCCTTACAAATAAGCTTAGCCTCTATTTTTCAACAAGTTGTCTTTTGTTTCTTTGAAACGTAGGTGGTCACTTTGCTGGTCAGCTTGCTACATGGCCATATGCAATACACACAGATCCCAATAACAGTGGGAAACACACTGTTAATGGAATCAAATGATCCTGAACACAGTTCAGGCTAGCATAGTTTAACATGGTTTGTCTTCCAGTGTAGTCCAGGAATCCCAGATTTACATTTAAATTCTATCAAGTCTAAAATAAGAGGCTCAACTAATCTCCCCTCCTGGTGGGGAGAATTCAATCATACCATTGCCCTCCCTCCCCTGGATATTCTTCCAAGATAGATAGTAGGTTTGATTTCTAGCATGACCTGGCCCATTCCTGCAAACCTTATTGGCTGCAGCATCCACTTTGGCAATGGCCACCTCAGAGCAACAAATGCCTACCTCTTTGGATACACTTTCTGCCATGGGAGATCTACTTCCTGAGGCCACTGATGTGGTTGAAACCTAGGTCATGGTATCACAGTGTAGAGAGGCTTCTGTGATGATCGGTACTTTCCTACCTCTCAGGATGTATTGCAAGGCATCATTAATGTTTGTAAATGCTCTGTAGTCCTTGGATGAAAGGTTTGTTTAAGTACTATTGGTCATGTGACTGTCCTAACCATTAAATTCCAAAAGAAAGGCACTGTAACCTTAAAGAAACAGTGGCAATTTTTTGTTTGGATATCTATGTTAGGTACTTATAAGGCCCCCATAACCATAGTACCTGAGGCTAGACAATATGAAAGCCTTCTGAAACACCAAAAGCAGTAGTAGAGTAGCATAGACTTGGCTTTCCTTTGCTTCAGCACTGCTTCTCATTCCAATATAGTAAATAATGTTGACTATTTCCTTATTCTCAGGAATAATAGACTCCACTGATTAATAATATTGCTGTGTCTGCCTACTAGGTTAACTTTATAAGATAAGGGTTCAAACCTGCAGTCCTTAAACAGGAAAAACTCCCACTGAAGTCAATGTGAGTTCAACTCAGGCAGCAAGAAAATAAATCCTTATGGAAAAATCCTACAGACTGTAGCAGTCAAGAATATCCCTTCAATAAAAAATTTAAACAAGCTCTGGAATTGTATAGCAGGGACTTAATTCTTAGTTAAGTTCAAATAAATATTTATAGAAAGTTTATGTTTATTCATCTATACCTTTGCCAAAAATAATTTCTACAGCCATTTATTCACTATTAGATTCTATGGGGTTTTTCCATTGGGGAAATAATTGGTTTTGATTTTATATTTCGTGCAGGTGCTAAAAGCTAATTAAACAGAATTCACTAAATGGTAGCGAGACAGGGGAGACAGAGCAGCATAAAATAAAAGCTTCTTAACTTTCCAGAATTATTTCTTATGGCACCAGACTACTACATTTTTCTATATAAGTGGCTTTATATCTGCTTTTTCATTCTGTTGTTCCACTTTTGCCTCTTAATATCCTTGATGAATGCTCACTAGTTCCTCTTATTTTTTCACTCATTCCACCTAACCCTTGTGCATCCATTAAGAAAAAAAATCCTTTTATGATGTTTATAAAATAGCCTTCAAATATAAAGAGCAGCTCACTGTTCTGGACCAAGTTGTAACTATCATTGCTGCATCTTTTTAATGCCATAAATGTTACCTATTGGCACACAGAGCAGGTATCTTAAATTATGAAAAAAGACTGAAACCTTTAAAATGCTGATGCAGGAGTGATTTATTTTATCACAAAACTCTATAGCGTTTGAGTACCTTCATTTAGATGACTATTGTACCTGGCTTAGATAGTCTGTCCCATAACTTGAAATGGGGGAAGGTGGTTTTAACAATGGAACAATATGGGTACTGCCAAGATTCATTCAATGGGCTACATTTAGTTCTGGTTCCACATTAACTGCTCCATACCTGTTACAATATTATGATATATTTACCTTTAATTTACGTGAGTTCCTATCCATCTACCACTATGCCTTCATCAATAGCATAGAAGTTTTGATTGGACATTTAAAGATCTATGAAATAAAATTGTATTTGTTCATTTTAGACATTTGGGGCTATAAAATAATATCCAAGGTTTTGTTGGATCAGATGTCATTTTAGAACATTAGGTGACATGGATTCCAACTAGAGTAAATTCAGATTATTTTTTTTAAATAACATTGGTACTTTTCAGGTTTAATGATTTTTTTTTAATTTAATTTGGGGATAGTATCAACCTCCTAAGACCTTTACACTCCATTATACTCATTGCTTGCAATTCTAAAATCAGACATATGTTTACATATTCATACAAGTCTTTATGACAGCTGCCTGCATAAGTGTTATGAAAAATTGGAAAGATCCATTATGATGGTCATTTACTGAATGGTGGTATAAAATAATTTTATTAATTTAAAAAAATAAAAATAAAATAAAAAAAACCATGAAAAGCAGCTGGGGGAGAAACATAACCAGAATTTCTTTGGGAGGAGATTTTCAGAGGCACAAATGACCCTAACTTGGAGCTAGGCTCCTAACTGCTGCCCACACTGCAGTGGGGGTGTGTGATTGCAGCAAGTGTTGGCATACCCAAGCTAGCGTGGGTGCTAACAGCAGTGAAGCTCTGGCAGCATGGACTTCAGTGTGGGCTGTACAACC